CTGCTGATGATGCTACTGCTGTTGATGCTACTGCTGCTGCTGATGCTGCTGCTACTGCTGCTGCTGATGCTACTGCTGCTACTACTGCTGCTGCTACTGCTGCTGCTGCTACTGCTGCTACTGCTGCTGCTACTGCTGCTGCTGCTGTTGCTACTGCTGCTGCTGATGATGCTGCTGATGATGATGCTGATGATGCTGATGTTGCTGCTGCTGCTGCTACTGCTGCTGCTGCTGCTACTGCTGATGATGATGCTGCTGCTGATGATGCTGATGATGATGATGCTGCTGATGATGCTGCTACTGCTGTTGTTAATGCTACTGCTGCTGCTGCTGCTGTTGTTGATGCTGCTGCTATTGATGCTACTGTTGTTGATGCCGATGCTACTGCTGCTGCTGCTGATGATGCTGCTGCTGATGATGATGCTGCTGCTATTGATGCTACTGTTGTTGATGCTGATGCTGCTGCTGCTGATGATGCTGCTGCTGCTGATGATGCTGCTGCTGCTGCTGCTGCTGCGCCTCACCAGTGCGGCGACGGCCCAGCCGGTCTTGTTGTACAGGAAGTCCAGGTTGTTGCGTCTCAGGAAGAGCAGCCCCCCAACCAGAGACATGAGCAGCATCAGCGCCACTGCCCCCGAGTAGTTGGGGGGGCGGAACACGCGGATCTGGGGGGGGGGGGGCGGGGGGAGGGAGGGGGGCAGGGAGGGGGGGGGGGGAGGGAGGGGAGGGAGGGAGCGGGGGAGGGGCGGAGGGAGCGGGGGAGGGGCGGAGGGGGAGGGGCGGGGGGAGGGAGGGGGGAGGGGCGGGGGGAGGGGCGGGGGGAGGGAGGGGGGGAGGGAGGGGGGGGACAAAGCGAGAACGATCGCGGTGTTGAGATGGGGCGCCGGGGTGGTGAGATGTTAACTACCTCGCCTGGTCTACAGGAGGTCGTGGGTTCGATCACGACCCTGACTATGCCTGCTGCTGTATATTTGGAGTTTGCGTGTCTCTCTCTCTCCGTGGTGAGATGTTAACTACCTCGCCAGGTCTACAGGAGGTCGTGGGTTCGATCACGACCCTGACTATGCCTGCTGCTGTATATTTGGAGTTTGCGTGTCTCTCTCTCTCCGTGGTGAGATGTTAACTACCTCGCCAGGTCTACAGGAGGTCGTGGGTTCGATCACGACCCTGACGATGTCTGCTGCAAATATGTAGTTTGCGTGTCTCTCTCTCATCATCATCATCACGGTGGCTAGGGGATGTTGACTACCTCGCCTGGTCTACAGGAGGTCGTGGGTTCGATCACGACCCTGACGCCTGCTGCTGTATATTTGTAGTTTGCGCGTCTCTCTCTCTCATCATCATCACCGATCGATAACGATCAATATAACGGATCGGGGCAAGATCGCCGATCAACGACATATCGGGGTGGGTGGCTTGGGTGGTGGGGTTGATCACCGATCGATTACGATCAATACCGGATCGGGGCAAGATCACTGATCAACGACAGATCGGGGTAGGTGGGTTGGGTGGTGTTGATCACCGATCGATAACGATCAATAGCAGATCGGGGCAAGATCGCCGATCAACGACAGAGGGTGGGTGGGTTGGGTGGTGTTGATCACCGATCGATAACAATCAATAGCGGATCGGGGCAAGATCGCCGATCAATGACAGATCGGGGTGGGTGGGTTGGGTGGTGTTGATCACCGATCGATAACGATCAAAACCAGATCGGGGCAAGATCGCCGATCAACAACAGAGGGTGGGTGGGTGGGGTGGTGTTGATCACCGATCGATAACAATCAATAGCGGATCGGGGCAAGATCGCCGATCAATGACAGATCGGGGTGGGTGGGTTGGGTGGTGTTGATCACCGATCGATATCGATCAATAACGGATGTGTACTCACCGTGACCTCGCTGCGGTCGCTGATCCACTTGGCCAGCTGCTCGGCCATGATGCCGTTGCGCTGGAGGTCAAAGGTGTCGGCTCGCTTGGGGCGGCCCTTGGCCGGGAAGTGCATGAAGGTGGGGGCCGAGTTCATGTTCAGCTGCACCGAGGGGGAGAGGGGGGGGGGGAGATAAGGGGGGTTAAGGGGGAGATAAGGGGGGAAAAAGGGGGATAAAAGGGGGAGATAAGGGGGAGATAATGGGGAGAAAAGGGGGAGATAATGGGGAGAAAATGGGGAGATAATGGGAAGAAAAGGGGAAGATAATGGGGAGAAAGGGGGGAGATAATGGGGAGATAATGGGGAGAAAATGGGGAGAAAAGGGGGAGATAATGGGGAGAAAGGGGGGAGAAAAGGGGGAGATAATGGGGAGATAAGGGGGAGAAAATGGGGAGAAAAGGGGGGAGAAAAGGGGGAGTTAAGGGGGAGTTAAGGGGGAGATAAGGAAGAGACAAGGGGGAGATGTGGGAGAGGAATGCGGGGGAGACGCGGGGGACACGTGGGGTGACGCGGGGGAGACGTGGGGAGATAAGGGGAGACAATTGTGAGACAATGGGGAGACGGAGGGACGCGGGGGAGATAAGGGGGAGATGTGGTGAGACGCGGGGACACACGGGGATACGATGTGGGTACTTGACATGGGGGTATATGGGGAGACGAGGGGGAGATAGAGAATGAGAGAGACACGATAGAGCCGATGTTGTTCTAGAGCAAGGGAGTGGTTGAGTTGGTGAGCGAGTGGCTCGGCGAGCAGTTGAACGGGCGAGCGAGCGGTTGAGCGAGCGGGCCGACCAGTTGAGCGAGACGGGCGAGCGGTGTGAAACGGGCGAGCGAGCGGTTGAGAGCGAGCGGACGAGCGAGCAGTATGAACGGGCGAGCGAGCGAGGCAGTTGAACGGGGCGAGCGAGCGAGCAGTTGAACGGGCGAGCGAGCGGTTGAGCGAGCGAGCGGTTGAGCGAGCGGGCGAGCGGTTGAGCGAGCGGTTGAGCGGGCGAGCAAGCGGTTGAGCGGGCGGGCGAGCGGGCGAGCGAGCGAGCGAGCCCGAACCTGCTGGAAGACGTCCGAGCCCTCGTCAAAGTCCACCATGGCGAAGTAGAGCCGGCTGGAGTAGGACCCCGAATACCGCCACGAGTTTGCCAGGATCTGGAACTCCTCGTTGGCGTGCCTTCACCACGCAGCAGCAACAGCAACAACATCAACAGCAGCGGTGGTGGCGGTGGAGGAGGAGGAAGAGAAACCAGCACGGCATTTCGTTTTTAGGGAACCTTTGCACGAGTGGCTCACAGCAGGCATCGGAGTGGATATTGACGCACGCTCTCCCACGCTCGCCCATACTCACCCACGCTCACCCACACCCGCCCACGCTCACCCACACCCTCCCACACTCACCAATACTCTCCCACAATCAACAATACTCTCCCACGCTCACCCACACCCTTCCACGCTCTCCAATATTCTCCGACGCTCACCCACACCCTCCGAAGCTCACTCACATCATCCGACTCTCGTCCACACCCTAAGACACCCACCCACACCCACACACACCCACCCACACCCTCACCCACCCACACCCTCACACACCCACCCACACCCTCACACACCCACCCACACCCTACCACAATCACCCACATCCTCCCACAATCACCCACCCACATCCTCACACACTCACCCACACCCTCACAAGCCCACCCACGTCCTCACCCACCCACACCCTCACACACCCACCCACACCCTCACACACCCACCCACACCCTACCACAATCACCCACATCCTCCCACAATCACCCACCCACACCCTCACACACTCACCCACACCCTACCACAATCACCCACCCACACCCTACCACAATCACCCACTCTCACACCCTCACACACTCACCCACACCCTACCACAATCACCCACCCACATTCTCCCCCCATCACCCACCCACCCCTCACACACCCACCCAGCCACATCCTGACACAATCACCCACACACACTCTACCACAATGACCCAGTCTCCCCTCCCCCTTTCACACAAATCACAACAAAACTGTTCACCCCCTCCCCCCTCCCTCCCCCCGTCCCCCGGCGTACTTGCAGACCCCGCACTGCCTCTGAGGCTCGAGGGCCGTGAACATGATGACCACCGAGTAGTTCCGCGGCGGCGCCTTCACGTAGCGCCGGAACTTGTCCCCGTTGAGGCGGATGACCGAGCGTCGCACCGTCCACTCCATTAGCTGCTGCACCTTCTCCGACATCAGCACCTGCAGTAGCGTCATCAGCAGCAGCAGCATCATCATCAGCAGCAGCAGCAGCAGCAGCGGCGGCGTCATCATCAGCAGTAGCGTCATCATAATCAGCAGCATCATCAGCAGCAGCGGCGTCATCATAATCAGCAGCATCATCAGCAGCAGCGGCGTCATCAGTAGCGTCATCATCATCAGCATCATCATCATCAGCAGCGGCGTCATCATCAGCAGCGGCGTCATCATCAGCAGCAGCGTCATCATCAGCAGCAGCGTCATCATCAGCAGCAGCGTCATCATCAGCGTCATCATCAGCAGCAGCATCGTCATCAGCAGCAACGGCGGTATCAAAATAATGAACACCAATATCATCATTGGCAGCAGATTCATCATCAGCTGCAGCAGCATCATCAGCTGCAGCAGCATCATCAGCTGCAGCAGCATCATCAGCTGCAGCAGCATCATCAGCTGCAGCAGCATCATCAGCTGCAGCAGCATCATCAGCTGCAGCAGCATCATCAGCTGCAGCAGCATCATCATCAGCAATATAACCATTACCATCATTATCACGATGACCAGGTGCTGGCTTTTCAACATAAGCACATGTATCATCAACATCAACATCAGCAGCAGCGTGTATGTTGAACTTATTTCGCACTGTACGTAGCCAACCGTATCGGAGGTACGGGAGAAGGACAATACTCTATGGGTCTCTGTGTGAGTCTATGGGTCTCTGTGTGAGTCTATGGGCATCTGTGTGAGTCTATGGGTCTATGAGTCTATGGGTCTCTGTGTGAGTCTATGGGTCTCTGTGTGAGTCTGTGGGTCTCTGTGTGAGTCTGTGGGTCTCTGTGTGAGTCTATGGGCCTCTGTGTGAGTCTATGGGTCTATGTGTGAGTATATGGGTCTATGAGTCTATGGGTCTCTGTGTGAGTTTATGGGTCTCTGTGTTGAGTCTATGGGCCTCTGTGTGAGTCTATGGGTCTATGTGTGAGTATATGGGTCTATGAGTCTATGGGTCTCTGTGTGAGTCTATGGGCCTCTGTGTGAGTCTATGGGTCTCTGTGCGATTCTATGGGTCTATGAGTCTATGGGTCTCTGTGTGAGTCTATGGGTCTCTGTGTGGGTCTATGGGTCTCTGTGTGAGTCTATGGGTCTCTGTGCGAGTCTATGGGTCTCTGTGTGAGTATACGAACAAAGATGCCCCGTGTAGCCTGTAACAGACTGTTGGGGCAAGTGCTGTTAGTGAGTAGCAGCAGTACCTATGAAGGCCGGAACTGTGGCAGCAATTCATATTCTTTGGGTTTGTCGGTGAAGTCGCGTAGATAGTTTCAAAGAAAATTCCTCGTAGTTTTTTAAAACAATTTTTCGTTATTTTATTTGAACCAATCGACGATGACTTTACCGACAGACCCAAAGATTACCAACTCATATTGATAGAAACCCAAGAAACCCGCCGGTGAAGTTTCATATTCCCTAACGCAGATAGGCGGAGAGCTTGGGCGCCGACCAATCGCAGCGCTCCCCGCGTTCCGCCTCGACCAATCACGACCGAGGACCCGGACTAAGCGGACTACGTTATACAAACGCGCGCACAGAAGCGCGGCCTACTGCAGGCTGCGTTCAGGACATTTCGCGCTCAACGTTTTTTGTTGTAAATTTAGAAAAAACAACAAAAAAACTTCAGTTTGGCGGCTCGCGCCCCGTCACCTCTTTGGTCTTTTGCGCGGCGCCCGGCGTCGAGAGGGAGCAGAGGACGCAGACGACGACGAGAGGCAGTAGCAGCTGCGGTAGCAGCAGCCCAGAGCGTGCGGCCGCCATCTTGGGTAGGGAAGGTCACTTTCCCCTGCCCACTCCGCACCGTGCGCGGCTCTCATTGGTCGGGAGCAGCACACGTGATGCGGGCGACAGATGGAGCGAGGCGATTGGTGGTTGGGTCAGTGATGTCGTTTAGCGGTTTAGCATATTTGGTGATATGAGAATGTTTTTTTAAATAAAAAATGTTGTTTTAAAAATGTTCAAAACACCAAACTGAAACCTTATATCATATATTATATATATCAATATAATATATATTTTGATATATATAATATATATTTTAAAATAGTAATATATTAATATATATAGTAATATATATTTATAAAAATATGATATTTTTTTTATTATATTTTTATTAATATAAAAAAATTATACTATATTTGTATAAATAGAAATATAAAAATTGAAATAATATTTTATATTTATATATTTGTAAATATAAAATATTTATAAATATTAAACATTTTTACGTATTATGTTTTGATAAATATATTCTTATATTTGTTATACTGGCAAAGGGAGGTCCCATTCAACGTTTTTCGTGTCAATTATCCGAATCATCGTTAACTTTTAAAATAAAATAAAAATGTTTGTTGTTTTTGTTTTAATGAATTGATTTGGCGGTGAGGTGTGGGAAGCTGTAAGCCCCAGACTACTTTGGGCTCGCCTTCCCATCAACCAGAGGCGAGGAGTAGTGGTCGTGGTTACTCATGCCCCCACCGAAGACGAACATCCGTGGAGGGATGCAGGCAAGGCCGATGAGTCAGATGCCTTCTATGACCTCCTGTCACAGGTGCTGGCTAAAGTGGCCACTCGGGACAGAGTCATCTTGTTGGGTGACTTCAATGCCCGAGTTGGTCATGATTCTGGCACCTAGTCTCGAGTGATTGGAAGGCATGGGCCAGATCAGCTCAATAACAATGGTAGGAGGCTGCTAGATTTTTGTGCGGCCCATGGGCTTGTAATTACCAACACGCTCTTCCGGCATCGGCGTATCCACACAACATCATGGATGCATGCCGGGTCAAAGAAAGAACTTCTGCTGGACTACATAATGACGGAACAGCGGATGCGGGCCCATGTCCTTGACATTAGGACCTACCGTGGAGCTGATCTGCCCATTGACCATCGACTTATCATCTGTAAGATGCGCCTGCCATTCTTCCACTCCGGTGGTGGGTGTACACCCAGGACCCCATTCAAACCCATAGTGGCATGGTCTCAGCTAGCTGATGAAAGTTGCAAGTGAGAATTTCATCATCGCTTGTGGCTGGGGTTGGCATCGCCCCCCTCTCCTCCTGATGTCGAGGGTAAATGGGCGAGGTTTAGGACTGTGGCTCATGCAGCTGCAATGGCTGCTTTGGGTACGCGTTCCAGACCTCCCCAGAGACCCTGGCTGACAGATGAAGTGTTCAGGCTGGCTGAGAAAAAGCAACAGGCCCACTCTCATCATCTACAGCATCCCACGATCAGGGAATGAGGAGGCTTACCGCAGCCTTCGCTCGGAGGTTCGGAGAGCCGTGAGGTGCTGCAAGGATGGTTGGTGGAGGAGATGGAGTCTGCCTCAATGGCCCGTGATCACAAAGACAATGCACATTCAGGACATTGAGAGCTCAGGGTGAGCAGCTACATCATGAGACCTCCTTTGCCAGTATTAAATTATGATATTATTATGTTCGCCTTTTGGCATCCTCTGGTCTAGCACTGTTTGAGACTAGGCTCTAAAGAAAGCTGTCTGTGGTGTGGACCAATCAGTTTCAAAGACGATGCACCATACTGTCAGAGCATTTTTTTTGTTTGCATGTTCACCACAAGTATATGTGATAAATGCAGACATGATTTCTTGCAAAGGTTTCAGTTTGGTGTTTTAACATCTTAACATCTGTTTTACTACCAGAAAGGGGAAACCCATATTATCATAATTTAATACTGGCAGAGGAGGTCTCATGATGATATTGGATGAATAACTCACCCCCTGTGAGTGGCTGGCTGAGGTGCCATCTGTTAAGGAAGTACTGAAGGCGATCCAGAGTCTGAGAACAGGAAAGTCACCGGGCAGAGATGATCTCCCAAGCGAAATGCTGAGGGAGGGTGACGTTTGTGCACAGACTGCCCTACATGACATCATAACAACAGTCTGGACCACTGGACGGGTTCCGCAGGATTGGAAGGATGCCCTGGTGGTCCCCCTCTTTAAGAAGGGTGACCGCACAAACTGTAATAACTACAGAGGCATCTCACTCCTCATTGTGCCGGGAAAGGTCCTGGCAAGGATTATTCAACATCGCCTTGCCAGGCACGCTGAGGAGAGGCTTGCGAAGCCCCAATGTGGTTTCAGGAAAGGGCGGTCCTGCACAAATGCCATATTTTCTGTCCGTCTGCTACAGCAGAGATGGAGGGAATTCCAACAAGACCTACATCTCTGCTTTATTGACCTGGTCAAGGCCTATGATACCATCAGTAGGCCTGGGCTCTGGGTTGTTCTTCGTTCTTTTTGAGTCCCTAACCCGTTGCTCATGATCATTAAGGATCTTCATGATGGTGAGCGGGCCCGGTTAAAACTACGTGGCCGGGAGTCGGAGCCATTCCCTGTTTACCTTGGGGTGCGACAGGGATGTCCTTTAGCTCCCACATTATTTAACATCTATTTCGACCACGTGGTTCGTGAAGCCTTCAATAGCTGTACTGGAGGAATTTCCATCTGGTACAGATACAATGGGAGGCTGATCGATGCCCGGGTGCAGTCAAGGGATGGCTTCCTATTGCTCAACCATGTTATGTATGCCGATGATCTGGTAATTGCTGCTCACTCAGAGGAGGAGTTGGAGGTGCTGCTGCTGAACCTGGAGCTTGCCACTAAGAGGTGGGGCCTTACCATCAGCCCCACCAAAACTAAGCACCTGCCTGGGTATTTTGTAAAATCGGACACTCCACCCCCACAACTCCCAATTGGTGATAGGGCGGTTGTAGAGAGAGTGAAGAGTTTCCCATACCTGAGCAGTGTGCTCATGACCGGCTCCGGTTTGACAGCAGAGGTCTCACTTCGAATCAGTCGAGCGGCATTATCTTTTCATCGGTTCGTAACGCTGTGTGGAAGCTACCTGGTCTGTCGCTCCGCACGAAGCTTCAGGTCTTCTTGGCCACGGTCATTCCCTCCCTTCTCTACGCTTGTGAAACGTGGACCCGCCCTAATGGAGCAACTTCGCTGGTTAGAAACATTTAGCCTGGCCTACGATCCATCCTGGGTTTAACCAGGCTGGATTATGTGAGGAGCTCACATATCCTTGAAAGATCTGGACAAAGCCCCATCGGTGAGCTCCTCCGGCAGGCGAGGCTGCGTTGGCTGGGTCATGTAGCCCGCATGCCCAGCCACCGCATGCCGAAACAGCTTTTGTTCGGCCGGATTCGAGGGGGTTAAACGGGCGCGGCACGGGCTAGAGAAGAGATGGAGTGATGTGGTACAGGAGGACGTGGAGCTGAGTGGACTTGCCGATGACTGGTACCAGCGGTGTCAAGATCGGCCTCTGTGGAGGAGGCTCGTGAAGGACGCTGCTACTGGGCAGTTGGAGGCAGTCGCCCTCCAACAACAACGGAGGGCGGAGGAGCGACGCTCACAACAACGAGTGGAGCGCCAGGTGGCTAAAGCACAGCAAATGATGATGATGATGATTATAATCATCAATGAAACACATTCCTGCGGAGGGAGCTGGTAGGAACGTCGGGTTGCTCGGTCAATGGCCAGGGTCAACGGCGGCGTGGTGTATTCCGCAAATATGGCCGACTGTGAGGGCGGGCACAAGCCGGCGTGAGTAGGTTAAACGTTGAGTTTTATAAGGGCACCACGGGGTGACCAGCCCCTCCCCACCAAGCCCCACCCAGCCCCACCCAGCCCCACCCTCCCCACCCAGCCCCTCCATACCCAACCAGCCCCTCCCCACCCAGCCCCACCCATCCCCTCCCCACCCTCCCCACCCAGCCCCACCCTCCCCACCCAGCCCCACCCTCCCCACCCAGCCCCTCCCTCCCCAACCAGCCCCTCCCCACTCAGCCACACCCAGCCCCTCCCCACCCTCCCCGTCCCACCGAGCCCCTCCCTCCCCACCCAGCCCCTCCCTCCCCACCCAGCCCCTCCCTGCACGACGGACACAATAATCCCCTGTGGGCTGGTGTAACCAGGAGGTTCCGACCAGTATAAATGTTCAAGTTCCGTATCTGGGTGTCTCTCAGTGGGTTTATGGAGAGAGATTGGAGAGAGAGACAGAGGGGGGGGGGTGGGAGGAGGAGGAGAGAGGGTGGTGGGGGGATAAGGGGAGAGAGCTCGGAGGGGTTCAGAGGGAAGTGAGAGAGGATGGGAGGGAGAGGGCAGAGAGAGGAGAGAGAGGGGAGAGAGAGGGGAGAGAGGAGATAATTTAAAATAAGTATAACCAGTAAAAACAAAGTTTTTCACTATAAATCCTTTATATTCGTGGCGGCAAGAGTCCTCTCGTCCTCTGGCTTGAGATGGCTGCCACCTATGGGTCAGATGATTGCCTGCCACCATTAAGCAATTGGTAATGAAATATAATATTTTTGTCCTAAAAAGTGTAAAATTTTGGAAAAATTTTTTCACGAACATTAATTGTCACGCACAACGAGTCTGTGTGCAAAATGTCAGCTCGATTGGATCACGGGAAGTGGGTTAAAAAAACGACCGAAAGATTTGCACGGTCGTAAGCAAGCAAGCAAGCACGCAAGCAAGTGAACTTAATATAAAGGATTTTAAAAAACGAAATGATGAACGAAGCAAAGTGCCGACTACACCGAGCATCTTCTTGTTTCCTCTGATCGTCAAAAAAAGGACACGGACACTCACTGACAAGACAAAGATCCCCCGTAAAGCCTTAACAGACTGTAGGGGCAAGTGCTGTTAGCGAGTAGCACCTATGAAGGCCGGCACGGTACACGAACGAGGGGGTGGGAGGCCAGCACCACGCCCGACCGCCTTTGTCTCCCCAGTGGCGATGTTTACCACACACCGCACCAGGTACTC